GAATATTACGATAAGCATTATGCAGAATTTGTACCCCTGAGGACAAAGGTGAGTGTTAGAAACACATTTGAAGAAAATGTTAGAATGTTTTTTCCCGCTTTTATTTTAATAGGTTGAATACCAGCGAACTAGCTTAAGGTGAAGGTCAATTATGTCATGGTGTTCAGTTAATGAGTGATATAATTGAATTCTATAGAAAGTCTGAATTTAATTTAATTGTAGATTAAAAGAAATGAAGTAATCATCAACACTACTTTATGAATGAAGCGCTACAGATTTTGCATACTGTAGAATACTTTATTTTCGCTTGGAATTTATTTTCGCTATTTTCGCTGAAGGGATGATTCCATGAAAATAAAATCCAGCGAATATACTTTTTTTCCTATATTTCACATTAAACTCTTCAAATATTAGTAAAAATAAATTCCATACAAAATGCCCAAAAAGCCTTTTCAGCGAAAATTAATTCCAGCAAAAATAAAGCATTCCACAGTATGTAAATACAAATTGAATCCGTCCATGTTTAAAAAAGCATTAGGTTCCCTTTGTGAATAAATTTTTTGTTTTTCTAAAACTTAATTTTGTCTTTGCAACCCAATAGGTAGAGGGATAGCAAAGATGAAATATTTGTGGAAAATATTTTTTTTGAGAGTTGAAACATGACTAAATCGTTCGATTTTAAAATTTCTGGGGTGTTTGAAATTGAAAATGTTCTGTTAAGCGATCCAGTTTAAAAGATGAAATGGACAACTTGGACGATGCTTCTAGTGAAACATTTATGGGTCATTTATATATAGAAATGAGACGTACATACATGGCAGCACTCCCATGATGCAACTCACTTTCTGTGAGAATAACTTTCGGCTGGTTAGATCCAGATATATATTTCTTCAGTTGTATTTTCTCTGACAGTCATCATACATGTACAATGGTAAAAACACTCACAGACTAAAACCATCACAGCATTGCATGACTTTCCTGCCAGTCAGTATTTGTTACATTTTTGTTGCTATCATCAGCTAGCAATTACGCATATAATCAAAGAGAATGTCAAGTTTAATAATATTTTTAAATGTTTTCAACAGACAAAAGAGATTTTACAAGAAGAAGAAGATTTGTCAGAAATTGTGCAACTTGTCGGTAAAGGTTCTCTTGCAGAGTCCGATAAAATCACGTTAGAAGTTGCCAAGCTAATCAAAGACGACTTTTTACAACAAAATGGTTACACTCCATATGACAGGTATGTTATTACATTTTACTTCCTTTTTCCAATAATGATAGAAACAAAATAAATGATATATCTACAACACATTTTGATGCATGTACGTCATTAGTGCATTATGTACTGTAAATGTTTAATTTTCACTAGCATTTAATTTCACTTATTTGATATTTTGAGCATATTCTCTGAGTTTTAAATTCACTGATTTGCCAGTGAAACAATGATCACTAATTTAATTTTGCACATTTTCCTTTTTAAAAGTAATAATTAATGCATTTACAGTAGTTCTAAACATTGATTGAATGGTGTATATGCATGTTTTTTTTTTCTTAATCAAACTCACAACCTCACTTAGCGAAGCAAACACACTGACCTCAGGTATATGCTAACAACTAATGTGAACAGAACATTACTTTTCGGCATACAAACCATCCCATATTTAGAGTGTTGTGTCAGAGCTGTGTGACAAACAACGTGCATTTTATCATAATGACCTTAAGGCGTTTAAATGTTTTATCCCAAGCAGTTCTCCAAAATGCATCAGTTCAGCAGATGGTTTCAGCCATTTGTAATTCTCATTTTGGTGAACATTGGACATACATTTTGTACCTAAATAATTAATATAAATACATTAGGTGCTACAACCAGCAAAAGGTTAATTCATGCATTTCGCTGTCCCTGGCGGATGGAGTCCGAAACAGGGACGTATGTTTTGGTTTCCATCCATGCGTGTGTCTGTCCATGCGTTCGATCATCCATCGTCATTTCTCGTGGGCACCTGAACAGATTTCCTTCAAAGCTGTTATAAAGACAAGTCATAATGGCAGACATATGCACAAGAATTTATTTTTGATTTGGTTGACCTTTGAATGACCGACGGCCATTTTTGTCCCCAAAACACTAAAAATCAACATTTGGACATGTCATCAACCGTTTCTTGGACATGTCTTTATATCTGTTTCATGCACATTTGTAGATAATTTGCTAAATACTAATATTTAAACATAATCTGACTATGCTGATATTTATTGTCACAATTTCTAAATCCTTCATTGGATCCAACAGTCGCCAGTGTTTAGTTAATTTTAGTGGTGAAGTTTATTAATCAACATTTGTAATAATGAACATATTATTTTTTTTACAGATTTTGTCCATTCTACAAGACAGTAGGAATGTTATCAAATATATTAGCTTTTTATGACATGGCTAGGCATGCTGTAGAAACCACTGCACAAAGTGACAATAAAATATCATGGAATGTCATCAGAGAAAACATGGGAGATATATTATACCAGCTTAGTAGTATGAAATTTAAGGTATGTACAGAAGTCATATAAGTTCTAAGCAACGTAATATTACTAGCATTGTAGCTAGGCTTTAGTGGAGTGGTGTACAGTGAGTGGAACACTGCATAGATTCTAGACTACATAATGAGATATTACTAGCATTGTAGCTAGGCTTTAGTGAAGTGGTGTACAGTGAGTGGAACACTGCATAGATTCTAGACTACATAATGAGATATTACTAGCATTGTAGCTAGGCTTTAGTGGAGTGGTGTACAGTGAGTGGAACACTGCATAGATTCTAGGCTACATAATGAGATATTACTAGCATTGTAGCTAGGCTTCAGTGAAGTGGCATACAATAGATTTGACGTCTTAAAGATTCTAGGCTTGTTTCAAGTGTATTAAAATACGTTTGAATATAGCTTCTATAAGAAACACGTAACTACTGTAAAAGGCTTAATTATTCACTGGGTTTTAATTTTGCTTATTTCGCTGACTGGAAAATGTGCTAAATTTTAACCCAGTGAATATGTAAAATTTAGCAAAGAACACATTATCTAAATGATAAAACTGTGAATTTAAAACCTACTGAATATGCCTAAAATGGTAAATCAGTGAAATTTAAACCCAGTGAATATTAGTCATTTTACAGTATAACCTGAGAAATTTGAAACAGTTGTCCATACAATCATTTATTAAAAAGAGATAAATATGGTATTTAGGAAAATATATGTACCTAACCACATGATTCGACTTTTCTAGAATGCCAGAAATGGGTTAAATGGTAAAATTCCAATATAAAACTATTTCACCATGCAAGTGAGAAAACTCATTAAGTGTGACATCATGGAATCTAAAGTCTAGCATAAAATGGGATTGATGAAAACTTGGGTGTCGTCAAAAATGAGCTCAGGATGGCGGCTCTCCCAGAAACCTTAGGTTAAAAAATTAAAAATATCTCTGTTTCTCGTTTATGCGCGCATCATTTTGAATTATGCGCCTCAAACGTTTTTTTTCTTCTAAAGCATTCCAAAATGCACTTGTACTCGCACTTGTCTCAAATTTCCTCCATAGCTCAGTATTAAAAAAAAAAAAAAAAAAGAAACAGATTTTTTTTTCTGGCCTAGTGAGTCAATTCTGCTAACTTGAAGACGTAAATGTTTTTGTTTGTTTTTACAGCAAACTTAAGGTTAAGTGCTATACCCAAATCATGTGCTTCATGGTAAAAAAACAGTTTTTTAAAAATAATAGGGAATGAAAAATGTAAAATAGACACAATGTTCTTTTCTTTATCCTTGCTGATTTAAATGTTTGTGTCTGAGCACATTACAAAGTTGCTCATAAGTTAAAAATGTTAATCCAATGGACACAGCACCTTTAAAAATGCTGGGTTTCCATCCTTTGAACAAGCCTGCCAGTCCTTCTTGTTTTATAATCTTGCTAAAGCAATGGACGACACCATTGTAGGTAGGTGCTTTACCGAAACCTGCACGGGCTTGCGTGAAGCCTTGTATCTGTAGACGCTTCTTCACTACATCTAACGGAAGGATTATAGTTTTACTGCAAATACCAGAACAACCGCCACATACAGCGCTTTCCAAAGGCCCTAAATAAAATAAACATAGCAGAACTATCATAACCTTGTTAACTGACAAATCCAAGAGAGAAAATATATCACTAACATTTGGTTCTCATGATCAGTTTTATGAAGTATATCTTGAAAATTATACTTGCTAGTAACACCAAAACTGAACTTATTAATTTCTAGGGCGGTGGTTGTCATGCACATATGGGCTAAATATGACTTATTATAGATAGTTTTGATAAAAAGGAAATTCACTATTTCAAAAATGAATGAGCAAAACCAGTATAATAGACTGCCAACTGCATTAGTTCACTTGAGCATGCATCACAATAGTCAGCTTTCGGAAACTGATGGGTTTTTTTTTTCAAAACAAAGTTCAATCTATCCAGAGTTCAATCTATACGATAATCAATTTTGATTATTGTTATATTAAAATTTTTAGTATTCTAAATGTCTAAATTTTGGTTACAAGCAAATTATATTTCACTCCAAGCATATTCAAGAATAGGTCATTGCATGTTAATTTTATTTCGTCTTGAAAGATTTTTTGTGAAGCTTTTTTTGTTTCCATTGTTCAAACCTAAAAGATAATAGTATACGGTAGAGACTAAACTGGCACATGCTGAAAAAAGAATATATATACTACATATCCAAACACCAAATGTTCCAAAATTGTCTGTCTGAATGCTTGGTTCATATGACATGGCGGGGGGGTGGGGGGGGGGGGGCAGCTAGCTTGTTGAGAAAGATATGGTTGAATGCCAAATATCATTTATTAGTATATGGAGAGAAGATGACATTTTTGTTTTACACTGACAGCTCAACAAGGAACGTTAACATAACTTATGAAATCCTCCGGCAAAAATAAAGGATTAAAAATATTCAACAAAATATGTGCCGAGATCCCATAACATGAATATAGCTTATGACAACAATGCCAAACATACTATCGGTAGCTAATTTTTTTCATTTTATGATAGGAAAATCAATATCATGTGTAGCTCACAACATTCTGTTTTTGTTAAACACTCAAGCTCACAGCATGTCACCACTTATCCAAATTATCCTTGGGGCGGACCACGTCACGGAACGTTTCACGTTGCTAAGACGCGCACCACTGAACCATGTACCATATGGGCTCTGCACATGCTGGTGAAAATAACTGAATTTGAGAAAAAAGCACAAAATCAACTTTGAAGTAATTCTGAACAACCAAATTTATATATGTTACACACGTAGAGCTAATCTTGTTACACTGTTCATGGGAGTCTCAACAACCATCCCAAAGTACCGTTTTCTGAAAGTTTTCACCTTTGTTTGCACTGTGATGGTTGCCAGGTGGTGAAAATGCCCGGATGTCCGTCCCTGAGAATACACTTACCGACTTCGTGACGCTCTGTTTTAAACGTTTTATCCCAAAGCATTTGAAAAAATGTATAAAAACCAAACTGAAGACCAGCATGTGGAAATAACTCCAACAACGAGGGTGCTAGCCCTCTATAAAAACTTCTGACACCTTCTTCTCTGTACATAGTCTGTGCTGCATGTACAACATTTCTGTAAATCTGAAATCAATTATATAATAATTTACAATTTGTAATTTCATGTATGCTCTAAACTCAATCAATTTTTGACACTATTAATCATGGTATGATATTTAGACGGCATTTGTTATTACCTAACATCCTGTACTGTAGCAAGCACTGGTGTATTTCTTGGTATTTTGTCAATGTACTTATGAATATTAAACAGAGAAGATCAATGCATTGTAAAAGAATTGTCAACCTTAAAGTGACATATACATTCAAAGCAGATCATGACCGAAATGCACCTGTATATGTACAACACATTGTACTAAATCTGAACAAAATCCATCCATGCATGACTGAGATTCGGTTCT